CCCAGTCGCCCCTCCCTCTACCCAGGCTGTACTAAATGCCAACTCTTTTTTCTGTCTTTTCTTCCATAGAGGGAGCTTGGGAAGTCACCCTTAACTTTCTTTTAAACGCTATTATAAGGAAAAGCATTCAACAAAAATGAAATCCTTAAAAGAAACAAGTAAATGTGGCAAATTGTTTTCTGCATAATGCCCTCCTGCCCCTGGGTGGGAATGCCTCCTATGACAGGACATCCATCATCGGAGGGGGCTGCCTGGGCTGGAGCCAAGGACCCCCCCTGACTGCTACTCCCCTTTCTGCCCTGTACCCCAGCCGGGTGGAAGAGACCGGGATGGTGCTGTCCCTGGAGCAAACGGAGCGACACTCTCGCAGACCCGTTCGGCGGGGCGCCCCCTCTCAGAAGGATACCCCGAATCCTGGGGACAGCCTTGGTATGGGGCAGGGCCGGGGCGGGAGGGGTTGTGTCTCCAGGGCGCTTAGGAGAAAGCCCACGTGCTGTAATGTGCTCACCCAGTGCGGCCTGACTCCCACCTCCCTCCTCTTATTTTCGGAACCACACCAGCTTCCTTAGTGCTCTTGGAACATGCCCAACTCTTTCATGCTTCAGGGCCTTTGCACCTGCCATGTCCTCTTCCCTGAATGCTCTCCTCTCTCCGGTCCTCCCTCTTCTCCTGTGTCCCTGGATGATGGCTTCAGTCTTGTCTGGCTCTGCTCTGAATCCTGCTGTGGCTCCCCATTGCCCCCCCACCCTTCAGTTTGTTCCCTGCTCCCGCCTCACTGCTCTCTGGCTTCTAGTTATCTTGACTGTCCCAAGTCGGTTTCCTTTCTACCTTTTCCTTCTCCCCCTTCCCCGATCCTGGACAAGTTCTTTCCCTGTTTGTTCTTCAAGGCCTCACCTTCTCCGAGCTGTTGCTGGCAGCCCATGCTCCTGGGTGTGGTGTGGGGGTCACGAGTATCCTTTCCTTTTCCGTCTCAGAACTGGCTCAGGGCTACATCTGGACCTGCAGGGACCTTAGAACCTCCTTGAGGGCCTTGGGCCAGTCTTTTCTCCTAACATGCAAGCCCCCCAGAGCCAAATGGCCGAATGCTGTTCTATAACGCTGGAGAATCGGATCAGTCCTGTGCCCTGGTCCAGCTGTGTTGGTTTTAAATATTAAAATATTTCCCTGCCACTGGGCAATTGCTACTGTCCCAAGCCTACTGTATGCCTCCTCACCCCACGTTGTCCCCACCCATAGGACCCTCCAGGGGTTCATCGCAATCTGGTAACCACAGGAATAGCACCTGGCCCAGCAGGACCCAGCTCCCCAGCACTGTGCGTGGTATCCACCCTGATTGGTTGTTGAAAATGTCAACTATGTTCCCTAGGGCTGGTGAGGAGGGCTCTGCGCCTCAGCCCTGGGTGACCATCGCGTGTCCTCTCCATCTTGATGTATCCCGCAGACGCCTCTGGTCCCCGGATCCTGGCCTTCCTGCACCCCCCTGCCCTGAGCGAGGCCACCCTGGCAGCTGACCCCCGCCGTTTCTGTAGCCCTGACCTCCGCCGCCTCCTGGCACCTATCCTAGATGGGACTTCAGTAGCCACCACCCCCAGTGCACCCCCAGCAGCACGGCACCCCCAAAGTCCTCCTCCGGTAAGCAGGCCCTCCCACCTGAGCCCCCAGGAGCAAGGCTGCTTTGGCCTTTGGCTGGAACCTTGCTATTCTCGGGGCTTTGGTTTCTCCATCTGTGACGTGGGAAGGTTGGGGTGAGACGGAGTCTGGGGTTCCTTTAAGATCTAGATTCCAGATTCTTCAACTGTTATCTGGACCAAATCCTGGGATGTTTGGAACTAGCACGGATGACCCCCTCCTGTCATGTGACCAAGCATCCAGGATCTCTGAACTTTCACTTCAAAGAGTCAAGAACATCTAATGTCTCAAATCATATAAACCTGCACCTGCATTCAAATCCTGAAACTGCCACTTACCAGCTGTGCTACCCTGGACAAGGGGGGGGGGGGCTCAGTTTCTTCACCTGTAAAATTAGGATAATAGCAAGTAGCCACCTCATTGATTATTGTGAGGGTTCAATGAGATCATTCAGGGGAAGCACTTTGTAGGACCCTGGCACCTAGTAGGTGCTCAATAGACCATAGCAGTTACTATCTTTACTTAAGAGTCCAGATAGTCTGACCTTTGACTCAGGAGTCCATATTATCTGGTGTTGATTTTCCTCATCCCCACCTTTCCCTGCCCCCTCCGCCCCCTGCCACCACCAATATCTTCTATCCACTAGAGAACTAGACTGTGATCTCTGACCTCACCCTTTAGCCCTGGGATAGCCAGACTCTGCATCAATTCCTCCAAGCTCCAGATTCCCAAGACCTTTAACCTCAGGCTTTGGGTTTTTGGGGGTTTTTATTTATTTATTTATTTATTTTTAGCTGAGCCATCCTGCCACCTGTTGGCAGCTTAGCGGCAGCTCAGCTCGGGCCGGGAATCAAACCAGCGACCCTGTTGCTCAGAGCTCGCACTCTTGAGTGAGCTCTTAACCAACTGAGCCACTTGGCTGCCCAGACTTTGGTTTTTCAAGCCTTTGATGTTTGCCCGTGGATCTCTACCCAGGCACTTTGACCTTTGAACCCCCAGGTTCAGAAGTCATTTGCATTTGCTATTTGCCCCCCTTGGTGTCCCACCTGTCTGACATTGACCCTCACTGCTACCCCTGAGCTCAAATGTCTAGACTGTTTTACTGTTGACATCTCCCAGGCTCAAGATTTCCTTAAGTCTCTCTTCTGTCTCCACACAGGCTGACCTCCCGGATGAGCTACTTGTAGATGTGGAGAATGCACACAAGGTCTTGGGCGCTGGGAAAGAGCTTGGGGCAGTGGAGACAGATCTAGATATAGCTCAGGTAAGAGCTGGCATGGGAGGAAGTCTTCACCTCTGTGTCCTGGGGGCTGACAGATCTGGGCTTTAGAAAAAGGTAGTGGGGTGGTTAATAGGATGAGTGGATGGATGGATGGATGGATGGATGGATGGATGGATGGATGGATGGATAAACCATTGGATTCATTAGGTGGACTACAGTGGATAGAGGGATAGGTGATGTTTAGACAGACATTTGGATGGATGGATGGATGGATGGATGAGGGATGTTTGGATGGGTAGTTGGATAGCTAGACCTTTGGTTCATTGGATGGATAATAGATGGATGGATAATGTTTGGATGATTGTCTAGATAAATGACAGTGGCCTGATGTATTAATTATCTATTGCTGCATAATAAATTACCCCCAAAACTCAGCACCTTAAAACAGCTAACATCTATCATATCAGACAGTTTCTGAGAATCAGGAATCTGGGAGCAGCTTAGCTGCTCAGAGCTCTCAAGTCAAGTTCTCAGTCAAGGCAATAGTCATCTGGGGCTAGAGGAATGGTTCTAAACTCACCCACATGGTTGTTGACAGGCCTCGGTCCCTCATGGGCTTTGGCTGCAGGCCTCCATTTCTCACCATGTGGGCCTCCACATAGACTGTTTACGTGTCTTCACAGCACAGCAGCTGGCTTCCCCCAAAGCAAGTAATCCAAGAGACAGAGAGAGTGGGCCCAAGACTGAAGGCGTAGTCTTTTATAACCTAATCTCAGAAGAGTGGTGCTGTCACTTCTGCGGTATTGTATTGGTCATACAGACCAACCCTAGCAGAGTATGGAAGGCAACCACATACAAGTGCGAACATCAGAAGGCAAGGATCACTGGGGCTCCTGATGACTCATGTCTCTCCCTCAGGCAAAATACACTCACCCTCTCCCAAGGTCTTCAGAAGTCTCTTCCCATTATAGCATCAGCTCGAAGTCCAGAATCTCCTCACCTAAAACAGGTCTGGGGGCAATGAAGCGCCTTGAGTACAGTCCCTCTCAATGTGTTGGCCTGTGAGCTGAAGAGACAAGTTACCAGCCACCCACATCCCCAACATATGGTGGTGGGAGAGGCAGAGAGTAACTGCTATATATTCTCCTGTTCAAAAAGTGGGGAAGGAGAGCTCCCAGGTATCAGTGATCCAGGCAGTTTCGAAATCCAATTGGGCGAATATCAGAAGTTTGTTGATCAGAACTCCTTGCTGCTACTTCCCAGGAGTTTTTCTCTATGGTTTTGGCTCTGCCCTCTAGGCTCTTGGCTCCTCACTCTTGAGTCATCCTTCCTTTTTCATGAACGGTTACATGTATGTGCAGCTGAGTGGTTTTTATAACCTGCTTCCTGCTTATAGAACTTGGGGGACCCAAAGATCTCTTTGCATTTTGTACCATCCTTGTCCCTTTCAGTCCAAGCTGGCAATGTTTTCTGTTCGTTTAATTCTCTTGAAAACAATTTTGTGGCTCTTACATGAATCTCTTTGGGTTTCACACCGTTCAACAAAAGTCACACGTACAAATCTCATTGAGATAAACCCTTGTCTACCTTGGGCTTCTGATGAGATGGCTGAGGGACAGTGCCCTGAAGTTTAATAGAAGCCCTATTGTTTGCGAAGACTTATGAAGCACATCCCTAAACTCTAGAGCTCCTTTTTTTTCTAACTGAAGGATATTCTAGGCACCACCTTTGATCTTTCTGAGGTCTTAACAAGAAATGTTATAGTCACATCCTGGGCTTCATCTTTCAACCACTCTTTCCTGAGAGCGCCCTTCTTTGCTCTGAATCCATTTCTTCGTTTTAGCATCATTTGCCATCTAGAGAGTTCCAAGAGTCAGCCAGACCCAAGGTGAAGGGCACAATCCCCCAGACGACTAAATTGCCCAAGTTCCGGGGTCCTCAGGGCCACCCTCACTTCAGACAAGCTGGATACAAATTCAGAGATTCCCACAGGTTTGATATTTTGCTAGAACTAGTCATAGAACTTAGGAAAGCACTATACATATGATTACAGTTATATTATAGCAAAAGAATATTACAGCCAAAGGAAGAGATGCATATGAGAGAATCTGGGACTGGAGGTCCCAAATGCAAAGCTTCCATGTCCCCAGGGATATGTTGCCCTCCTGACATTGATGTGTGGCAACCTGTGCATGGAGTATTGCCACTCCAGGAAGCTCACCCAAGCTTCGGTGTCCAGAGTTTTTATTGGGGTTTCATTATATGGACAGGATTGATTGAGTTATTGCCCATGAAGTTGAATTCAATCACCATCTTTTCCTCCCCCAACACACACACTTTCCTTGGAGGGCAAGCTGATTTCTCTTGGCCCAAAGCCTCCACCTTTAATGACATGGTTGGCCTTTGTCCGGGATGGCCAGCCCCCATCCTGAGTCATCTTGTTAGCATAAACTATCAGGCACGGTCCAGGGGTCCACTATGAGCAACAATGACACTCCTATCACTGCAAGCGTTTTGATGTCCCACCTCCCAGGAGCCAGGACAAAGGCCAAAGCTCTTTGGGGGTAAAGTTAATTCTTCAGCATATAGCCAGGTTGAGAATTTTCAAGACGTTCACGTCCCAGCTCCTCGTGTTTAACATTTCTTCATTTAGCTTCTTTCTCCTCTTGCCTTTGACTAGTAGCAAGAAGAAATCAGGCAGCCTCTTCAACACTGGCTGGAAATCTTAGCTAGGCCACCCAGTTCACTGGCTTATACTCTCCACACAACTGCAGGTGGCAGTGTTGCTAAACTTTCAGCCACTACACAGCACAAGTCCCCTTTCCTAAGGTTTCCTGTAATGTGTCCCTTTCAGCCCTCGCTGGCAGGCTCCTTTCGGTTTAAATTTTGACTAATAGTTTGTTCAAGGCGACCTAAGCCTTCTCCACCAGACTCTTCAAAGTCCTTCCAGCCCCCGCCCACTGCCCAGATCCAAAGTCACTCCCATAGTTTAGGCTTTTGTTACAGCACCCCGTTCTTGATATCAGAATCTTATTTGTTATCTATTTCTGGATAACAAATTATCCTAAAACTTAGAGGGTTGAAACAACAATCATGTATTACCTCACATAATTTCTGAGGCTCGGGGTCTGGGAGCCACTTAACTGAGTGGTTGTTTGTTTTTTTTTAAAGAAATTTTATTGGGGAACAGTGTGTTTTTCCAGGACCCATTAGTTCCAAGTCAAGCAGTTGTCTTCAATCTAGTTGTGGAGGGCGCAACTCAGTGGCCCATGTGGGGATCTAACCGGCAACCTTGGTGTTACGAGCGCTGCGCTCTAACCACCTGAGCTAACCGCCCGCCTCCTGGGTGGCTTTTGCTCAGGGTCTCTCATGAGGTTGCAGTCAAGATGTCATCTGGGGTTGCAGTCACCTGAAGGCTTGACTGGGACTTGTGGATTCATGTCCAAGATCACTCACTTGGCTTTTGGCAAGAGGTCTCAGTTTCTTGCCATGTGGGCCTCTCCTTAGGGCTGCTCAGGACATGGCTTTTCCCATGATCTGAGAGAGAGAGAGCGCAACAAAAACAAAAGCCACAGTGTCTTTACATCCTCATGTTGGAAGTCACACACCATCATCTTCTCAATATCCTATGGCTACCCGGTCAGCCCTAGTCATGGTAGTAGGGGACTGTACTAGGGCGCGAATACCAAGAGGTGAGCATGCTTGGGGGCCATCTTGGCAACTGGCTAGCACAGAGTCCTTATATTCATCTTGCAGATGGAAAAATTTAAGCTCAGACTCTTGACCTCAGGCACACAACTCAGAAGTGGTGGAGCTGGGATGCTTGCCCAGGCCCACCCTAGGCCAAGGCTCATGCTCTTAATTTCCTCCTGCCCTCCGCAGGACGTCGATACCCTGGATTTGGAGATGCTGGCCCCTTACATCTCCATGGATGATGACTTCCAGCTCAACTCCAGCGAGCACCTACCCAGGGCCTACCACAGACCTCCAGGGGCTGTCCCCCGGCCCCGCGCTCGGAGCTTCCACGGCCTGTCGCCCCCAACCCCTGAGCCCTCCCTGCTGCCCCGCTGGGGGAGTGACCCCCGGCTGAACTGCTCCAGCCCTGCCCGAGGGGATCTCTCCGCATCCTCCCACATGGCTGGGGCTCGGAAAAGGTGAGCCGCAGTAGAGGAGAGATAAACAAGAGTGTTAAGAGGGCTCCTGACCCACTGTCTTGCTCCTGCTTCATACTCCAGCCTCATCCCTCATCATTCCTCCTACCCTGACTTCTGCCCCAGCTGGGCCCTCAGTGTCCCCTACACATGGCATGTTCATTCCAATCTCTATGTCTTTGCCTAGGCTGTGCCCTCCACTGTTCTCATTGTTTATCCAAATCCCACCAGTCAACCGGGGCCTTCTCCTTTGGAGCATATTTATATCTGGCCTAGTGACAATTTTTGTCATAGTTAAGAGGACATTGCCACAATGTCAGAGAAACTGTCCGGAACTAAGTTTCTTAATACCTTTGAAAATCTGTGGAAAGCTATGGACCCTTTCCCAAGAAAATTTACACACACATAGAGACACACATTTTGCACATAATTTCAGAGGGTTCGTGTCCCCCTTCCAAAGAGGTTAGATTGTTAATACTTGTGCTTTTGCTTTCCAAATTGCAAGCATGTGCCCATTTAGTCTCCAGAGTGATCACTTTACTATCTTTATGAGGCTTTTATGGATACATTTCAGTATTCCCCAAGGCTCCCAGCTTGGCGCTGGATATACAACAGGTGCCTAATAAAGACTTATTAAATGAGGGAGGGAAGAAATTAGTGAATATTGTAGGTGGATAGAGAGATGATGGATGGAAGACAAGTGGGTGGGTGAGTGGACAGATAGGTGGATTAATGCTAAGATGGATGGATGGATGGATGGAAAGATGGATTGGTGGGTGTATGAGTAGATAAATAGATACTTTGGGGGAGTAAATGAATGCTTATTACCTCCTCACACTGGTGCCCACACCTACCTACCTTTGCTGTGTTCTGAGATTCTTGCCTGTTTTCCTCCAGGACCCTGGCCCAGAGCTCAGAGGACGAGGCCGAGGGGGTGGAGCTGCTGGGAGTGAGACCCCCCAAACGGTCCCCAAGCCCAGAACCTGAAAACTTCTTACTGCCTCCCCTCAGCCTGGTATGTGTGAGGATTCATGGGGTTCTCTGGCCCTCAGAACCCAGTAGGCTTAAGCCTAATTCTTTATGGATGGGAAAACCAGACAGGACAGGGGATGGCTGAAGGTCAAATGGAAGGTCAGAAATCCAGCTGAGGCTAGGACCTTGATCTGCCTGCTCAGGTAATGGGTATGAAAGGAATTTGCAAATTTATGTAAGTTGGTAGGAAGTGCTAAGTAGAAAATTAAGCAGGGGAAGGGAGGAAATGATAAGGGTTAGTACCTGTAGGAATCTTCTGCTCCTGTGGGCCCCACTCCCAAACCTAGAACGGGTCTTGGCCTTGGAGGACTGATGTAGCACTGAGTACAGACACTAGCATCAGATTAACTTGGGTTCAAGTCCCAGGTCTGTCACCTTGTCACCGTGAGACATTGGGCAGGTGATATCACCACTCTGAGCCTCAGTTTCCTCATCTGGAAAGTGGGATACTTACATCTCACAGGACTGCCATGAGAAGCAAATGAAGTCAGGCCCTTAGCTGATCCTCAGCAGGTTGACAAATGGTGGCATAAAAACTCAAGGAGCATTCCTTCTCCCCACGTCTCCCTGCCTCAGTCTCACCCCTGCTCTCAATTCTGCACAACAGCAACCAGAACGCCCTTTCTAAAAGCCAGCTTAGACCATGTGACTTCCACAAGGCCTCCCTCCCGGACCTTCCACGGCTCCCCACTGCCCACAGAAGAGCTCTCTGGCTCCTCACCCACCAGGGCTGTTTGAACATGAGGGGTGTGGCTTCTAATATCGGCAGCTTATGTTTATGAGTGCCTACCATGTGCTAGACGCTGACTGCACTAAGTACCTTGCAGGATTATTGACTCCCCATGACCATTCTTGAAATATCATCATCATATCATAATCATCATCCACATTTACACACGCGAAGTTAGGCAACTGTATCAGCTGGAGTCGGGGCAGGAAACAGCACACTCACAGGGGATGTTGAGGAGAATTTAATGACAGGACTTGGCAAAGGTGTGGGCAGCATGTAAGGCATCAACAAGGGCTGTTACAGCACCCTGGGGCTCGCCATGGGGAGCTGGCACCATCTGTAGCCTGGAGACACGGGGCAGGGCATGGTCACTGGATCTTGGGAGAGAGGAGGGTCCAGCTTATAAGAGCTGGAACCTTCTGTGGAGGGACACAGCCATCCCATGATGACCCATCAGGGAAGCAGCTAGAAGATCAAACACCCCTCCATGTCCTCCTCCTGCCTGCTGGCATCTCCCATTACGTGAACCCAACAGGAACACACAGAGCAAGGTTGCATATTGAAAGTTCACACACACAGAAGAAGGGGAGACCAAAGCTCTGGAGGCACACACGTAGGATGTGTGGGACAGTGACTTACCCAGAGTCACACAGCCAATAAGCAGCCATTGAACCCCACAGTGCCCTTAACGGCACCACCCTGCCTCCTTGGATATTGATGATGATGGTGGTGGCGGTGGTGGTGGTGGTGGTGGCAGCTTTGTCTCTGTCCTGCAGAGTTTCCTTCTGACAGGAGGACCAGCCCCAGTGAGCCAGCAGGATCCCAGCACCCACCTCCTGGCACTGAATGAGCCCCTAGGTGAGTAGCAACCTGGGTATACAGAGGCCTTGGGTCCCCCTCTCTCCTAGGAGGTGCCCCGGGTGGTTGAGAGAGGGGTGGGGCAATCCTGAAGGTGGTGGGGGGCTGTCAGTGCCCGGATGTGACCTTGGTGGAAATGAGCAGCCCCTCCCACCTCTCAGGGGCACTGTTGGGTTGGAGAGGAAGGCAGGTCCCGAGGGAGGCAGGGGCTTTGCAAAACTGCCTGTTGGGTTGGAAGCCAAGCCTGGGTCTCCTGAAGCCTGCATCTGATGACGCTTTGGGACTGAGTCCTGCCTTGCTCAGTCCCCACTGTGTGGCTTTCTTTCTGGAGCCTCAGTTTCCCCCTCTGTCCATTAGCGCCTGTTATAGTAGTTCTTACCTTATGAGATGTTTGAGGACTTGTGGAGACGCTGCACAGAAAGAGCTTAGCAAGCAAGGCCTGTTTTGTAATAAATTCTCCAGAACTGCCTGCCCTGGTGCGATGCTGCTTCCACAGCCCCTCCGCAGAGTGCCAGACGAGCTGCCCTCTTGTGTGTGTTATTATCATCATCTTCCAGCACAACTATCAGTAGCCGGAGCTCCACTTGAAAACTCCAGGCATCAGCCAGGGGGCGGGTCTCTCCAAAGCACAAATCTGACTTCTGCTCAAAACCGTTCTGTGGCTCCCTACTGCCCTTCAGGGAAAGCTTAAGCTCCTCACCTTGGGCTCAAGCCTCTGGGTCTGACAGCTGCCTCATCTCAGAGTTTGTTTCACATCCTGGTTCAGCCACAGTCACTGCCTTTCGATTCATTCTGTCCTTCAAACATGTAACAAATATTTACTGAACACACAGTAAATGCCAGACATTGTCCTAGGAGTTGGAGACACAACTGTGAACAAAACACATAGAAATCAAATCCCTGCCCTCCTAGGGCTGACATTCTAGTGAAGGAGGCCATCGAGAACAGAGAAACAAATACAATGATGAGTGTAAGAGAAGAGAAGTGCTACTGGGAAGAATAATACATGCAAAGGAAAAGGGAATTCTGGGGTGGGGAGACTTCAGTTTTAAGTAAGATTAGGCATGGTCTCATTGAGGTGACAGTTGAGCAAAGACCTGAAGGAGGTGAGGGAGTGAGCCATGACAATTTCTGGGGGAAGAGCAGTTCAGGCAGGGAGAGCCGTGAATGCAAATGTCCTGGGGTGGGAGTGTCTTATTTGGGGTAAAACAAGGCCAGTATAGCTGAAGCAGAGGGGAGAGGGGTGAAGGGTGGATTGCACAGGGCCTCTGTAGGGCACTGTGATGACTTTGAAGTCATCTTACTTGAGGAGGCTGCCTCAGGGCCTTTGCATGTGCGGATCCCTCTGCCTGGAATGCTTTTCCCTTTGTTCTTTGCCTAATTACTACATCCTCTAGATCTCTGCTCAGATAGTGCTCCTTCCTATTACACAGGTATTTGATTATTGGCTGTCTTCTCCCCATGGACGTGAGCCCTGTGAGGGCAGGGGCCAGGCCTGTCTTGGTCACTGCTGTGTTCTACTGTGTGTGGAGGCAGGGCAGTGGCCGGGCCCAGAGCAGGTCCTCAGTACATATTTGTAAATGAAGGGCTAATGTTTATCTAGCAATCACTCTGCCAAGCTTTGTGCTAAATTTATGTACATGACCTAACTGATGGCCTTCACTGGAAGGTCAGCCCCTCAAGGGCAGGGTGTTTCATCTGTCCTGTTCACTGCTGTGTCCCCAGTGCCTGGCACACAGTAGGTGCTCAATAAATACTTTTTGAATGAGTAAACTCTCACAAATGAGGTAGGTATAAGTATCTCTGTTTTCCGGGTAACAACAGCACTAGTTATTGTTCAAAGCACTTTACATGGATTCACTCATTGACTCCTCACAACAGCCCCGGGAGGGAGGCAGTTATTAGCCCATTTTACAAATAAGGTAAACGAGGCACAGAGAGGTGAAGTCACCTGCCCCAGGTCACACAGCAAGCAAATAGCAGGGCCTGGATTCAAACTGAGTTAGAGTCTGGCTCCAGGCTTCTTAATTACTGTCCTAAACATCCTGGACACCTGAGGTTCACAGAGCAGAACTTGCCCAAGATTTCACTGCTGTTTGAGTCAAAGTGCGCCTGCCTCACCACTCACAGTTTTAACTGTCAGGAAGGACAGATGAGTTGGGATGATAATTCCCCACTGGTTTACCTTCTGTCTTCCCCCACAGGCATGGGCCCCTCACTGCTGTGTCTCTACCTGGATGAAGACACCACCCAACCCAAGAGCCACTTCCAGCCAGCGACAGGCTTGGCCCAGGCCAACTGAGCCAACCCCTTTGCCCATCTCTCTTCTCTTCCCCAGAAAGGACCTCAACCACACTCCAAGCTGGCAGTCAACGCACAGGATGGGGGAGCAGGAGGGGTTCCTGCTCTCCTCTCAGTGGCCCCTGCCCGCCTCGGGCCTACCTCAGCCTCCACCCCTCTGCCCATGCCCTATCTGGGGGCTCTTTGGGGTGGTCTCAGCTCAGTGACCTCTGGGAGGGTGTCCCTGGCCCCCTCCTCCTCCTTCTCTCAGGACTTCCCTTGGGGTTCTTGATACTGGTTACCTCATCCCTTTTTCTAACTCTCTTGGCTTTATTTTGCGTAATTAGAGGTGGGGGAGGTTGGGGTTCAGATCTGTGTTTCTGGGCTCTGAGAAGTATTGATAACCATAATCACATTTCTTTCCATCCATTTTTCTTTTATTACTATTTTTATTGTTTTCATGATATGGTTTTAATCACTATGAATTGCCCGGTGTCCATAAGAATGTGGGACTCCGATCTTCCCCCCTGCCACTCAGGTGTCAATGGAGAGGGAAGCCTCTAAGACAGACCTCCCCCCACGGCGACTTCTGATTGAGCCCTTAGCCTCCCAAGCGGCCACCCAGTTCTGCCTACCCCCTCCACTCTGGACTTCTGCCCCCAGCCTCTCCTGGAAACTGACTTCATTCATGGATTTCCTATTCCAGGTGGAGCCTCTAACATTCTCTGCTTCCAGACAATACAACCTCCAACCTTCTCCAGGTCTAGACCACACAGTGTCAGACCTTCTCTGGTTCTAGACTGCACAAATTTCAACCTTCCTGGTTCTGGACTGCGCAACCTCCAATGTTCTTTGGCTCTAGACTTCACAGCCTCCAATGTGGTCTATTGTAGACCTCACATCCTCTAAACACCTCTGATTCCAGATCCCACAATCTTCGATTCTTTATCATTCTGAATCTCACAACTTCCAACTCTATTTTCATACTTCATGGTCTCCAAAGTTGTCTGACTCTAGGCCTTGCAATCTCCAACTCCCTCTGGCTCTAGAGCCTCTGACCACCAGAGTCCTCTGGTTCTAGTTCTCTGACTTCCTCTGGTTCTAGACCTGTCCCTGTAAATCTCTCTTGTTCTAGATTTCACATTCTCCAATTCCTGCTGGTTCCAGATCTTACAGCTGATGATTTCCTCTGATTCTGGGCCCCATAACCCCAGGCTTCCTATTGGTTCTAGTCTTCCCAACCTATCGCACATTTGGTACTGAATCCAGACTTCCTGCTTTCTAAATCTCATGATCCCTCGTGATCCTTTTTACTTTCTACACTCAAGATTTGCTTTTCCCATCAAAAAAAAAGTAAAATGAGTTTTAGGTCTTCATCTTATAACCAGTTCTTCCAAAACCAGACATCATGCTCCACTTCTCTTTTGTTCTAGACTTCATGACCTCTACCGTTCACTGGTTCTAGACTACACAAACTCTAGACTTTGCAACTTCCAGGGCCCTGTGATTCCAGATCAAATGATCTCCCTTTTCTCTGGTTCTAGAACTTAGCCTCAAATGTCTTCTGATTCCAGACCTCGTCCTATAAATTCCCTTGGTCCTAGACCTCACAATCTCCAATCCCCTCTCACTTCAGATATTATGACTCCAACTTACCCAGGGTTTAGAACTCAGCCTTCAAACATCCCAATTATAGACCTTGCCTTACAAATTTCTCTGGTTCTAGACCTTACGATTCCCAACTCTTGACTCCAGGTTTTATGACTCTAAAATCCCCCTGGTTCTAGAACTCAGTCTTCAGGCTTTTTCTAATTCTAGTACTTACTCTATAATTTTCTCTGGTTCTAGACCTCACAGCTGCCAACTGCCTGATTTCAGATCCAAACTCTTCTGGTTCTGGAAACTCAGCCTCCAAATGCTTCTGATCCTAGAATCTGGACCTCATTCTGTAGATTCGTCTAGTTCTGAATCTTACAGCCTCTGGCTCCCTGATTCTGTACTCCAACCTTCTAACTCTATTCTGGGCTTCCCACCGCACTCAACTTGCCCCAATTCCTACTGTCTTAAGTCTTCCCATTCCAGATCCCTACCATCCAGGTTTCTCTGCTCATGGACTTCATGCTCAAGCCTCTCCATTCTCAATCTTATATCCCTAAAATTTTTCTGTCCTAGAACCCCCTACAGTCCCCACCTCAGCCCTCCAGATGTGCACTTGCCTTTACTTTACCCCAGGTATCTAAGAGATCGGGGGCTCCCTCACCTCTTTGGGGGGTTCACAGTCCAGAAGACTTCCCCAGCCGCACAGGCACACGCACAGCCCTATCTGCATATCGTGGAGTGGGAAGAGAGGCTAAGACTCCTCAGTTCTCTGCAACCACCTAGGTGTCCCCAGCCCCCTTTCTTTCCACGATGGTGCTACTCTTGGTCACCCACAGGAAATGGCCTTCCTCTCTCAGACGGATTCACCCCCTTTTTGGAAGGCACTTCTTACTGTTTTGTCAGGGGATTGCCTGTCCAGATTGGTGCTATGGGGGGGGGGAGAAGGGTCTCACCCCTATCCCCCTCAGGGGGTGACCTGGGACCTCAATAAGGGACTGACTAGCCACCTTGGCTCTGAAACCCACTAATCTCTATACCACCAACCATAAAGACCTCGCCTTGGTAGGCACCAGAACTCTGTATGTTGACTCATTTGTGGGGATGCTTCAGTGGGTGTGAGTGTACTGGGTGACGGGCATCCAGATCACTTTGTGATTCTATGTGTATGTGTGTGACTCTGTGTTTCTATGTGGGTCTATGTAATGCGTGTCTGGTCATGTCATTCTGTGTATATGTGTCTTTGTGACATAGTTCTGTGAACCTGTGGGTGGTTGTAATTCCTTCCACGTGTTAGTATCTGGGTGAAATGCCTCTGCCTTATGTGTGTTTCTGGTTACTTAGGGTTTCTGTGTTCCTGAATGTGGGAAGTGTTATGATTTTTTCTTTGAGAAGGGGAGGTTACCTGTATATGTGTGGTTTTGCGATTTTGCATACATGTATAGGACTGTTTGACACTGTAATTCTGTGCACTGATGTGTGTGTGTGTGACATGATTCCCTGTATTTCAGTGTGTGTGAGTGGAGGGGAGATTAGATGTCTACAGATTCATGTGCAGATGGCTACACCTATTCTGTCATGTCTCTGTGTATCATCCTCATAACCCCTCTCCTGGGTTCCATGAAAGAATCTTTTCAAAAGACAAAAACCACTTTCTGAATCTTGGTATTTACAGCTCCTCTGCCTTAAAATGCCTTTCTCCCTTCCCCTCTCCTCACTTATTTTCTACTAATACTTTAGATCTTAGTTCAGACATCACCTCCTCCAGGAAGTCTTCCCTGCTTATTCCAGCAGAGTGAGGTCCTCCCACAGCGTCCTGAGAGTACGCCCTCTCCATCCCCATCATAGCTCTAGGTACTCTGTCCCATTCTGAGTATTTATAAGGGAGCGGATATAAAAAATACTGTGTCAAGCCCTCTGCCAAACATTTTACTCATGTGATCTTATCAACCTCTCCTCTAATCCTATAAAATAGGCATGATTATTATCTCCATTTTAAGAGGATGGAACTGAAGTTCAGAAAGGATCATCAGTTGCCCAAAGTCACACAGCAGGGAAGGGCTGAACTGGATTTGAATCCAGAATTCAAACCCATATGGCAGCCTTCCCTCTCACCAAAAAAAATCTCAGAAATCTATCCCACAGTGTGGGCTCTGGAGCACAGACACTAGAGTAGGAATTAAGAGTCTAGGAATTAGTTGGGGGGGCAGGTTCAAGTCCTGGCTCTGCCACTTTCTTGTTGTATGACCTTGGGCAAGTGCATTGACCTCTGCAAATCTCAGTGTCCTGGTCATCTGTAAAATGGAGATAAACTAGTACCATTTGGGTGATTGTTAGCTGGGGGGGAGGGAGGGGTCGGTCAGACTACCACAAGGTTTGGGGGAGGGAGAGTTTCTGTTTCTAGAACTGGGAGTCAGAGAAGAACCTTAAAGGATTTAGTGATACAGTTCTGCATGAGTAGCGGTTAAGGGCTTGGAAAGGGTGGTCTGGAAAGGGTGGTCTGGAAGATTGCCCAGTGTGTGGGGATTGGGGGCAGGGGTGGAATCTGCACATGTCGTGTGAGGCTAGACTATCCAGGGTCTCCCAGGTCATCAGAGTTTGAATTTTCTCCTAAGGGCACTAAAGAGCTGCGGAGTGGAAGATGAGGGAGAAAGGAGATGGTGCAACGAGCTTCTGAGCCTTGCTCAGGGCTAGGGGTTCCAGGGCGCCTTCAGTTAATAACTTAGAAATACTGATCCTCGAGGTTGGAACTTGATTCTGTTGGTTTGAGAAACCACCCGCTTTTCAGAGAGGGGTAACAGACCCTAGAGAAGGGAAGATGCGTTCAAGGTCATACAAGTAATTGACAGTAGGGCTAGACGACCAGCTCTGGTTGGGCTTGGTGCTGCCTCGCAAAACAGCCACATTTACCAGCGGCATTTGCAACCTACCTACCAATCCCGAAGACCGCGGGGAAATCCCACTTTAAGCCCCAAGAAACTTCGGAATCGGAACGTGGCAACTTTGGGAGCGGGGACCACACCGGGACATTCTTCCCCGCACGCCCCTCTTCACCTTCCCCATTGGCTCATTCTAGGAAGGGCGAAGTCTAGGGGCCTTCTGGTCACCTTGTCCGCGCGCGCTACAGCGAAAGGGTCCTACGCATGCGCGCCAAGGGCGCCTTTGGGGCCCGCGCTTTACGACACTTGTGCAGCAGCGGCAGCGGCAACTCGGCACTCCTTTGCGACGATTCGGCCGGGTGCCGCTGGTGGCTGTTGCCAGGGTGGGGGTCGCTTTGCGGCATGGCGATGGCGGAGGGTGAGAGGACTGAGTGTGCTGAGCCCCCCCAAGACGAACCCCCGGCTGATGGCGCTCTGAAGCGGGCAGAGGAACTCAAGACGCAGGCCAACGACTACTTCAAAGGTGCGCCCGCCCCGGAGAGGGTGAGGGGGGGATGGAGAGCGACCCAGGTCGAGGGGTACCGGGCCCGCGCGGAACCATGGCAACGCGGAGCGGCAGCCTAGGCGCGGGCCAGGCACTACCAAGTAGCCAGGCGTGGGGATGCCCAGGATGGCTCTACCCAGAGGTGACAGAGGGGGCTTCTGAGAGAAAGGGTGATACCTAGAAGTGGCGGACGGAGCGGGTGCTACTAAGAGGGGAGACTGAGGAGGGCGCTACCAAGTGGGGGTGGGGGGTGGGCGGAAATGAGGGATCTACCGAATGTGAGACCCGAGAGGTGCTAACTTGTGGTGAGACCTGAAGAGGGCGCTACCTAGTTGTGACATGGGGAAGGTGAGTGATGGCCCTACCAAGTGGGTGACACCAAGTGGGGGTTGGGGGAGTCAGCCCCTATAGAGTAAGGAGTCATGGGGATAGGGAATAATCATTAGAATGGAAGGCAAGGAAATAGGAGATTTGGGGTTACACGGGGAACAGGGATGTGTGGGAGGCCCTGGGAGTAGAGGTGAGGGAATCCCAAGAATAGTATGACATAGGATCTTGAGAAAGAGAAAGATGTGGGGGGGCATTCATTCATTCATCTTGTTTGTTGAGCACCTGCTATGTTCTAAGGCCTGTGCTAGACTCTGGGAATGTAACAGTGAATGAGACAGATGCAGCCCTGCCCTTAAACAGCTTGTAATTTAGCAAGAGAATCAGACACTGAGAAACTACCCAAATAAATAATAAAATACTTAGAGATTGTGATGAATGCTTTGGGGAAAAAAACCTCAATAGGGTGTAAGTAGAGAATAAGGGTCAGAAGCTACTTTTAGCTAGGTGGTCAGGGCAGGCTTTACTGAGGAGAAGGCATTTAATGTGAGAAGGAGAATTGAAGAGTGTTCCAGGTGGGTAGAGCCTCATGTGCAGAGACCCAGAGGTAGGAAATGAAAGGAGACTGGAGTGGCTAGAATTGTAGCGAGTTAGCAGGGAGACTGATACAAGTTTAGGTGGAGGGGAGGGGGGGTCGCCGCACAGGTCATGTAGGGTTCATTAAGTCATTGCAAAGACTAGTTTGGATTTTACTCAGCTATCCAAGAGGAGACATTGGGTGGATAGATTTGCCAGTCGAGCTCCAAGGAGAAGAAATTGGGTGTGTAGAATTTCTGTAGATGGTGTAGAACACGCTGGAAATGGGTGAGGTCATCTAGGAAGAGAAGAGGCCTAGAATGGAACCTTGAGGAATTCTGATGCTTAGAACAGAAGAGGAAGAGGCTGAGGAGGATTGGTCAGTGAAATGGAAAGAAAATCAGGAAAAGTCTCAGGAAAGATGAGAGAAGGAAGTGCTTTTAGAAGGTGGGGGCTGTTCCCTGGGTCATAGGTTGCCGAGACCAGCACCGAGCATGGACCGTTGGATTTGGCTCCATGACTGTTGGTGGTGTCCTTGACAAAAGCAGTCCCTGGGGAATGATGGAAGGCACTGAAGAGTGAATGGAAAGTGTGGAAATAGAGACAACAAATGTTGACAAGCATTTCTAGTAGTTTGGCTCTGAAG